CCCCTGCAAAAAAAAAACCCCCCTCTATACCCCCCTTAAAAAAAAGTATTAATTCGGGCGGAACCCCCCCCCCCCCCCCCTCTCGTCCCCACCCCCCCTGTACAAACCCATCCATGCCGACGGTCGAAAAAAACAAAACAAAAACGAAGGAATCCGGCCTCGAACTCCGCGCCGCCGGCGAGACCTCGCAACGCCTCCACCTGGAGGGCCTCCTCGAAGAGTCCCGCGCCCATGCCGACCGCTCCGCCGCCGCCGCGGCCGCAGCCGCCCTAGCTGAGCGGGAGGCCGGGAACCGCCTGGGCCGGGAGCTCCGGCTTCGCGAGACCGCCGAGGCTGCCGCCGCCGCGGCAGAAGAGCGGGCTGTGGAGTCCGGGACCGTCATCGCCGGGCTTCGGGAGGAGGCCGCCGAGCTGGGAGTTCGGGTGAGGGAGGCGTGCGAGCGAGAGGAAGGGCTGCGGGGTCTCCTGGAGACGGCGAAGGCGGGGGGAGCAGCCGCGCGGGCGGAGGCGGAGGCGGCGAGGCAGGAGCTGGTGGCGGCGAGGGGGGAGCTGGTGGAGGGGAGGAGGCGCGCCGAGGACGCGGAGGCTAGTGTCAGGGAGCTGCAGGCTAAGGTAATTGGGAGAGCGAGCTTGGGGCCGCCCGTGGCTGGGTGGTGTTTTGCGGGTCCTTTTCGACGCGCTGTTTATTGTTGTTGTTGCTGGGCTGGGTGTTTATGGGTCTAAAAACAAGAATCAGAAAAAAATATTGGCATTTGCCGGCTATTTGGTCTTCGATTCATTCTACCCGGGGTGGCATTTTTTTTTTTTTCTGTCGTCACAATGCGGTAAGCTCTTCCGGTGTTGCACCTTTCTCGGCGGATCAGACTCGTAACAACAAATTTTGGGGTCTTCCGAATACGGCCACCGGTGATGAGTGAAACTCGAATGCCGCAACACGATCGCTCGTCCCAGAAGGGCACCAGGAGACTGTTTGTGTCACGAGTTGCAGTTTTGTGTTGGCCGTGCTAGAGGGACGAACGAAGGGCGCATGACGACGAGTATAAGAATCGTCTGCGGGCGCGACACTCGGATCATTCGAAATCGGGTACCGCGCCCGACATCACTCTCGTCCGACCTGAGTTTGATTGGTCAATGTAGGATGATGACGCCTATCCTTAGCATACTTTTGTCTAATCATCAGGAGGCTACCTCGCCGAAAACGTGCCCTCGTGGGCCCGAGGGTTTTGTTTGTTATCCACACACTCAACACTCAACACTCAAAAAAAATTACGACGGCGGCGGCTGTCATACCTTGATCGAGTACACCAAACGCAGCATCACAGCATGATAGGCAGGTTAGTTGACCTGATGATACATCATTTAGTTTACGCCATCTTTTTATGCCGGCGATTTTTTCCAGGGGACACGTGACAACGAAATATCCGTTGTTGTTTTCCTTCCCGTTGCTGCCGATTTTTCCAGGCTTCTTCTCTCGAGCGAGAGGCCGCGGGTGCTAGGGAGCGGGAGGAGCTAGCTCGGGAAGAGCTGTCCGCTGCACGAGCCAAGACCGCCGAGGCGGAAGACGCGGTGAGGCTCGCTTCCAGGGAGGCCGAAGACAACGAACGGTCGTTGCAGACTCAGTTGCAGGTCAGAAACAAGGGCGGTGCAGCAGCAGCGGCTATTACGCTATTTTTAGAAGGTTGGGACAAGCAATATAAAAGAAATCGCATGAATCCGGGTGTGTCTTCAACCGTCTTGTACGTGTGTCTCGTGGGCGAGAGTTAGAGATTGGATGCACCAAGGAGTTGTCGCTTGGAGCTTACGGAGCCGGGTTTCTTTGGCGCACGTACGCTGCTGAGAGAGTTGTTGTGATAGGCAAGGTGGCGTTTACAGCCATGGATATGGATACAACCCTTGCAATGCAAAATACATGAAAAGTGTATATCTGCTTCGGAGGCCCCCCAGGAATACGTGGTACAAAGGGTGCACTGAATCCCCTGAAAACAGTCGCGCGATCATGCCTCGCCGAGTTCTGGTGCCGTGCTGGTGTGTTTGATACGAGGGCTAGAGAAACACACCCACAGACACAGGTTACGTTGGTCAGCCTGGTAGCGCCGTCGATGCTCACAGTGGACACAACCCCAACATCAATGTTTTTTATATTCTGTAATACTACTACAGCAGCGGTAGCCTTCTGGCTCTTTTACCGAACGCTCTGTTGTATTCGGTCCTTGCGGGCAGTTCCGATGTGTTGTCACTTTTATTTCCACGATATATGTTCCACCGACATGCGTCTCACCGAACAAAAAACAAATCGTGTGGCGGCGGGGGGGCGGCTGATAACTTAATGACTGCCTGATTGGGGGCAGCCGCTTGATTATTCCGTCTATGCCAGCCAAATTCGCCCACCTCCTACAATGCGACCGCCTTATTCAGACCGCTTTATTCTGGGACCCTCACTATTATTGTATTACCTCAGGCGAGCGAGACCCATGTCGCCGAGCTGGAAGCGAGAGCCTCCTCCCTCGCCGCCGCGAACGCCCGCCTGCACCGGTCCCACGACGCCCTCCTCGCCGACGCCTTCCACGCGGAGGACCTCCTGTGCGCCGCGGCGGAGAGGGTGCGGCGCTCAAGAGGAGCCGTGTTCCCAGTCGCCGCAACCCCCGCCGCCGCCGCCGCCGCCGCCGCCGCTCCCCCGCTCGTGGGGCGGAGGACAGGGGGACGACCAGGAGACTTGCTGCCAGAAGCGCCGGCTCTCGGGGAGGAGGGAGTCGGGTCCCCCGGTTCGGTGTCCGCCTCCCAGGCGGATGATGATGGAAACCCGAGCGGAGGAGGCGTTGTCGACGGCTCCGCGGGCGTCGCCGGGGGTGCCCAGGACGGCCTTCCGCCTCCCCGAACTTTGTTCCCGGAGGGCTCCGGTATCGGCAGCGGCGACGGCGGTGGCGGCAGCGGTGTCGGGCGCAGTGCCGAGTTCGCCGGCGGCGGGGGCGAGTGGCGGCTCGGGGAGCGGGGGCCCAATCGTCCTCGGGTGCAGTCGTATTCGCACCCGTTGTCGGCCTCTGTTCCACGGCTGCTGCGGCGTGGCGACGGCATGCTGAGGTCCTCTGTGCCGCAGAGGGGGGCGTGGGAGGAAGAGGAGGTGGGTGGGTGGGAGGCGGGGGAGCGGGGAAGGGATCTCGTGGCGGTGTCGGCGGCGGCGATGGACGTGCTGAGGGAGCTGGAGCGCATGCATGTGGGTGCAGACAGCACCATTCCGGAAAAAGCAGTGTTTTTCGCAGCCAAACGCGAACCAAGACTGACCGACCAACCCACTTGTCAAGTCTCGCAATTGGTGGCGCGTTAATGTGTTCGGGCCCGTTTTATTTCTGCCGGGCATGGCGGTGGTTGTTGGTTTTTCTTGTTCTTGGGTGCCTTCGTCCTCTGTTGCCATCTTGGCGCCTTCTTCGTTTTTCTTTCTTATAGCCACAGGCGTCAACATAACGAGCTTGACTCGACTCTCGTAGCGCCCTGTGGAGAACCTTGATCCTTTCATTATTTTTCTCGTTTTGCCGCTTGACGACTGCCGTCTTACGTGTGACCCCTCTCTCTTGCACGTTTCCGTTGCCACCTCTTCTTCCCGTACCTCCCACCCGCAACACTCGCTCGTCCTCGTAAACCTGTGTCGCGTTGTTGTTCAAACTAGGCGGCCGCGTGGGAGCGGGAGCAGGCCGAGCGGACTCTGCTGGCAAGGCTGGAGGATCAGGCTGACGGTCTGAGAATCGCAGACGAGGCCAGGGAGACCCACGAGGGGGCGGCGCGCGCGGCGGTGGCGGAGGCGGATCGTCTGATGGTCAAGGTGTGTGAGCGTGTGTTTTTGCTATGTATGAGGGTTTGTTGTTGATGATGTTGTTGTTGTTGTTGTTGATGATGATGATGATGATGTTGTTGTTGTTGTTATGATTGTGTTTGCGGTTGTCATGGTCTTTTGATTCGTCGTGAGGGAAGATGCTTCGGTACTACAAGTATAGGTGTTAAGGTTTTCTGGCTCGTGAGGGAAGGAAAGACAAACGCGCACCAAGGGGTTTCTTGATCATCCAAGGCGGTACCTTGGTCGTTTCCAATGTGTGTTGGCAGTTGATAGCACACCAACCACGGGCATGTTGGCTTCTAATTCTGATTTCTACCCCGCCCCGTAGCCTACGTTATTCCTGCTTCGCAATTCTAAACGGGTTGCCATACTGCATGGTGCGTTGTTGCCTGTCGCCCTCTCCCACAAACACTGCTCACCTGCCGCAGATCGAAGGCCTAGAGAAAGAGAACAGGGCGAACGCCGAACAGCTCGCCCAAGAGCAGGCCGCGGCGACGGAGCTGAGAAGACGTGTAGACGCCGCAGAACCGCTCGTCGAGGAGCTCAGGGCTAAGGTAGGCTACCTATGCCTACCCTACCCGGGATGTCAAAGGGGTATTTCGTACCAACTCTTGAGCTGCCAACCGTCCATCTGTTCTCCTCTGGTTCCACACGTATCACATTTTTATTTCTGGTCTGTTTTTTGGGGTAGTCACATACCACTTGTTTAGGACGTCAGGTTTCGCTGGACATTTCGGTACAATATTTTCTGGGCACATCGGCCGGGGCCACAGAGAGGAGGAAGACCACTGACGAGGATTGTGTTTTTATCTCCACCTTCTTCCTTATACGGCAATTTATTTATTTATTATTTATTTACGTATTGATTTTGTGCGTTTCTGTAGTACTGTACTACTGCTGACCTGGCAAATGGGCCGGGGCGAACACGGTTGTCGATGACCGAAGCTGCGGTTGAACCTACAAGTCCCTGTAAGACACGAACAAATAGCAATGCCGAACAAAAACGTTCGTAGCTAGGTCAGTTGAAGGCCGCCCGGATGCAACCCAATAGGAAACGCCCACGATTGGCCGGCTGGGTCCCGGGGTGTATTTGTTGTTACGAGGATCTGTGTGGGTGCAGAGCTACTACAACTGTTGCCGCGCGTTTTGCGGAGTACCTGCTCCCATCGGTCTTGTGGGAACAATGCTCCACCCTCTCGAGGACACCTGGTCCATGGTCTAACCGCTACAGCATGCAGAACACACGTGCTCCCCGGCGTGCTCTGTCCCGGCTTTGTAGGGATGCGAGGTCAATGGTCCAACTTCTACGGCATGCACGACTATGAGTACCCCCCCCCCCCCTCTCCCCCCCAAACCCTCAGGGCGCGGAGGCAAGCGCGACGGCGGAGAGCTTGCGGGACAAGCTCAACGCCTCCGTCACCAAAGCGGAAGCCCTAGCGGCGGAGCTTCACGAGAGCCAGAAGGCGGTGGCCGCTAGGGACGAGCTCTTGAGGGAGGAGAGGGAGGCCGCGGGCGAGCTGAGGGAGCGCCTGGCTAGGGCCAGGGGCGAGGGCGAGGGGGAGGCCAGGCGCGCGGCCGAGGCGGAGGCGCTCGCCGCGTCCCAGGGAGGTGAGCTGTGTAGTGGCACACGCTAGCCTTTGAGTCTTCCGTATTTTGTCTTTGTGTGTTCGTGTTTTTGGGGGGTAAGGGAGCGACAGAAGAGAGGGCGGGGAGGGCGGTAGCGTGAGGGTGGCTGTGTTTTCTCTCTCTGGTGAGTGTTTTGTTTTTTCTTCTCCCAACCGAGAGTTTTTGAGGGGGGGGGTATTAGCAGGAGATTCTCCAGCCGCGTCCTTTTGGGGAACGAATTGTGGTGACGACGATTTCGGGGCGTCTCTCATTTTTCGCCGCCGCGTGGGGGAGGATAAAGAGCGAAAACAACGGTATGTCTTGGTTGTGGAACGAGGAGATGTTTTTAAGCCGAGACAAGCGACACTCCCATCAAGAGCTGTGGTCCTCGTGGCTTTTTTTTTTTTTGGTGGTTGTTGATGCCGTTGTTGATGGTGATTTCTATTTGTCCGCAGTAAAGAGCATCTTGACCCCATGCCCGGCACCCCCGTGGTCCGTACCGTATTATTTCAACCCGGCAAGGAGACGGGTTTCCGTCGACAACACAAACGAGGCATTTGTACGTGCCTCGCCATTTCTCCCTACCATCACCTCCTCGCAACACCCAACAGCACACCCAAAACATGCACGGCGCCCCCCCCCCCCCCCCCCACCCATCCTTAACTCCCCACACGTTTACCC